ACGAAATGAGTTTTTCTTACCCTTAAACCACAAACGAAGATCTTCCTCGCACCTTCTGCACACCTTGTGAGGAGCCCAAGGTTTGTCTTGATCCCCAAGTTTCAATTTGAAATAAGCAAAATACACTTTCTTCACAAAATCACTTATGTTTCTTTGTTGACTTTTAACTATGTATTAACCACAAATAAAACAAAAGTTTCCCGGAGAAATAACACAACCTCTTTGAGCCATAATACAGAGCTAAAACACAAGCACAGTCACGTTTGAATGCAGGATGTAAACTGAGTGACTTATACATCAACCAAGATCCTGAACTTATTTAGCATTTGAGACATGATCAAATCTGACAGCAGGCTTGTTTATACTCATTCCTATTGCCCCAAAGAACATGTCCATACATGCTCAACCGAACTAGTAAGATTCCTCACCTTTCGCCACAAACAAAGTAAACGTGTTGGGACATGATCGCCTGAGCTCCTCACACCTCCAAACCCACCCTACCAACCCGTTCCACTGCCCACCCCCCATTCCACCCATTTTCTATTTGTATTATTTTTTAGATTCACTCTTATAAATATTATTTTAAAGTAAGAAATAATTATTGGATATGGTTTTTAGAATCAACAATAGGATACCAGATTTCATGTTGAAGAGAAATTTCACGCAAAATTAAACTAAAAATATGAGTTTTGCAAAAAAAAAAAAATTGACGTGATGGATTTTTTTTACTATAATTTCCGGTTCTAGTGAGTAAAAATCTATAAGAAATAGTAAAAATATCCTATGCAGTTTCTTGGTTGCAGACCTGTGTTATTGAAGCATATTGGTTACTACATGTACCGTCTAATTATTAGGTTAAGAAACCTCCCATTTTTGATCAAAAACTGTACTTGTTCGTTATCATACCACTCTGAATAGAAATAGATATTATTTCCCTGCACAGAGTTAACGGACGGATTTTTGTAATGGGAAATTTTTCTGTGAAGCAGGATGTGTTTTCATGTAGTACTTAAATTAATTTCATGCTTAAATGACATGACACGATTTCGCAAACTCCTCTTGCTAACGGCCAGTAGCAGGCCCGAATCTATCGCTACCACTCAACCTGCATTTTAATTCCCCCTTAGACATGTAGTGTGACAACCCGCTACGATGTGTTACTCACGGTATAACTCCAGCCGAACTGTCTTCTCTGCAGGTAACATGAGTTTGGTGTTGCTCGCCTGACACTTGTAGGTGGTGTTGAGGTGTTCTCTGGTCACATGTGAGACCTCTAGTCTGTTTACGACAACAGCGTGACGACTTGTCGTCTCCAGAAGGCCGTCAACCAGTTTATCATTCACAAACCACGACACCGTAGGCGTTGGCTTCCCTAGAAACAAGAAGGAGGAAAGGTGTCACGATTAATTTGGGTAGATAATCTGCTAGCTTCTTGCAACAGATGCGATAGCCTGACATTTCACATTTAGGAAGTTCACGTACCAAGTCTCGAGATTGGCTACAGAAGGAACAAAGACGTTGTTTTGTTTTAACTTTAACAGAAGCAAAATCCCTGGAGACAAAGACTGATTTTCTGCATTATTCTGTATCGATTTTGTGATTGTTTAATTATGCATTTCCAACTGAACAATTATATGAAGGGGGCAAGCAGTAGCGTAGTAAGTAGAGGCACTATACTACAAGCTGGAAGGTCGCGGGTTTAAGTCCCGATGAGGTGGATTTGTGGACATATAATCGATAATGAACCCCCTCGTTGGTGTCTCCACCTTATCGTGGTGAGGGGATTTGAGTATGCCAAGGACCCTGAGAGCTATACCAGCGGTAGCGTAGCTACTGGCAGGGTCTCCCTTGCTGGACAGGTCAAAGGGTAGGCATCAGACGAAGAGAGACACCAAAAACCAAAAACTGATGCCGGAAGCAGCGTCATCAGCAGCGACTTGAAGCACAGAACAAATGATGCTCGAGATGGTTCAGTTCGTATAGTAACAGGCCTGACCAGAGTGGTTTGAACGGCTGTTGTACTGCGATGTGGAAAGCAAATGGAAAAACTACCACATTATCACTTTTCCTGGACAGTCTCTTTCCAAAAACAGAAGATCGCACTAAGTGGAGGAACTGTTTTGGAAGAGACTGTGGACCTGTGTCGTCTGACAGATTACTGATGAATGAATTATCTAATCCTTCCAGCGGCACTATGGGCCCTGGGGTCGACTCAGTCTCTAACAGAAATGTGTACTAGGAATCTTCCTGGGTGTAAAGGGCGGCCGGTGCGTAAGGTTGTACAACTTTACCGTCATCTGCGAGCCGATTGTCTAAAAAATGTGGGAACCTCGACTTCTCACAACCCTATGGGCCTTCACAGCCTGGTACGGGGATAGCGTTACCTTTACCTTTTACAGTTATATGGAGTCGTATTTCAGAAAGACTCTGAATTATTAACAGGAAAAGGTACGTAACAAAATGGTCATAGCCTAATCTAGGGCAGTACCGTAGCACTCTCTTGAAGGGACTAAGGAATACCGTACAGAACCAGTCAGGACAGGCCAAGTCTGGGCATCATGGCCTCTCTGGATTAAGGAGAAAGAGCGCTGAATTTCAGCCATGACGTGTGGTTCTATAATTTTAAAAGTTCATGAAGAATTATGTCTACCGTTACTCACTGTCCAATTAAATTATGACACGTTTAGTTAAATGCCATGAATTTCCCTCGCTTGTGTCATTAGTGTAAGTACCTCCCAGCACTATAGGCCAATTCATCTTGGGATCCAGCCATGATCTGTGTTCATAAACCTGCCTATGAGGGTAACAAGTTGGTAAAGTTGACCCTGTGCTTAGCTAATTAAGCACTATACAATGAAGGCGTATGGGGGAGTGGATGTATAGATCCACATTTTCCTGACCTCGGCACTAGCTGGAGGTGAACGGTCAGCTTCACGCCCCGGGCCAATGAGAATACGATAAGAATAGGGAGACATATTTGGCATGTTGTAATTTTCGCAAAACCATCGTACTCACTATTACCGCTGCTTTTTGAGGCTATTACTTAGAGGCACTGTCAGTATCTGGAGTACGGATGGTAGTATGAATGATGAACTGGAAATAATAAGGTAATCTTGCATCCGGGTCGACACACTGGCGAAAACCACGAAAAGTATCAGTCAGGAGAGACAGAACCTCGACTGAGACTGGAGCAGATTACTATTACTGCTATTGCTACTACTACTACTGCTAGTATTAATACTGTTGCTATAATTAATACTGTGGGCTCTTTCCCGGAGGGTAAAGCGGACGGGGAATAAAGCTGACCACTCACCTCCAGCTAGTGCAGAGGTCAAGAAAATGTGAATCTGAACATCCACTCCCCCTACGCCTTCACGGCGTAGTGCTTAATTAGTTAAGCACAGGGACAACTTTAAATTTTTTCCCCTTGGCACTACAGCCCCAGTGGCCCTAGGCCTACCTCCATGAACTTCTCCGTTCACTTCAGTTTTTCTAGATCTTACACATTTGGTAGGACTCCCTGGGTGGGTGATCAGCTCGTCGCAAGGCCTCTACCTGTACACAAACACAGAAAAACGCACACACACACACAAACTACACAGAGACTGGCTACGGGCTGAACGACAGAAGGATCGGAGTTCAAGTCCCGGTAGGGTCGAGAATTTTCTGTTCTCCACGTCGTCCGGACCGGTTTTGGGGTTCACCTAACCTGATATCCATTTGGTACCGGTGGGGGGTCTATCCCCAGGGGTAAAGCGACCGGACGTTAACCTGACCATTCATCTCCAAGTAGTGTCGAGGTTAAGCAAATGTGGATCTATATATCCACTCCTCCATACGCCTTCATGGCGTAGTGCTTAATTAGTTAAGCACAGGGACACTTTACTTCTACTTACTACTACTGCTACTGCTAGTACTACTGCTAATGCTGCGTTATGCTACGACCACCACCATCATCCGTGTTAGAACAGGTCGAGCGTGATTTTCAGCTTCTGACCCACAGTGCACCACGCAGCGACCCACGCTATGGTAAGTGGGATTGAATCTACCCGACTCTAATATTGATGAGAAACATTTGTATGCTGAATCTGGTATCAAAGCTGTTAAGTCAAGCAGCAGAAACTGTTAAGCTTTTCAACAACAGGAATTATCACACCGGTCTCCACGGAGGGCAAACTAGCGCCTGAAAGTTATACTGGGGCAATCCCGGAAATGGGCTACACACGCCGCGGAAAGCCACAGTGAGGACAGCAGTCTCTGGTGTGTTCAGCTGGCTTACTTCTTGCGCGACAGCAGCGAATAAGTGCACAGCTCCCTTTAACTATAAAGCAACGCAGTATTTCGCCAAAAGAGTTCATTCTTAATGTCCGTATGGTTATAACAATTCTAATGTTATGTTTGTATGAATGCCCTGGGGATGTGGAGTATCTTCTTAGAGGCAAGGGTCGATATTTTAATTTTGTACTTAAGCATCCTGTTGAAAGTTATATTAAAACGTCTAAGTATAGCACAGTCCGTCAATAATGCAACAAATTGTTCCTTTTTCTTCCACTTACACTATTAACACAATATTTTTTGGCCCTAGATGGAAATCTTGGGGTGTCTTAATAGTGTAACAGTTTTAATATATTAAGACGCCTGAAGATGGCCATCTAGGGCCGAAAAGTGTAAATGGAAGAAAAAGGAAAAATTTGTTGCATTATTGACGGACTGTGTTACACATAGATGTTTCCGATATTTTAAATATTATTTCAATGAAATTCGCTTCACGAAATTTTATTGCGGTAACTGTCTACGTTTCCTAACGCAATATATACTGTATATATATAATTTGTTCAATATAATAAATTTTGAAAACTTGCATCCTATATATCAAGGTCGATTGTGTTCACAAACCACAGCACGTTCTTAATTTCTATGCTGCGAGCCATTAAAACTTTACCCATAATTTGAAAGTGTAATATGTCACCATTGTGGGAGAGTGAAAACACGCGTTGCAGGAAATTTGTACAGGAAAATATGGAGTGAAAGAGTGGAAAAGCAGAAAATCGTTAGCTAGGATCAATCCTTCGTTGGTGCCTTTCTTTGAAATCCCCTTTCTTTTCTCTATATTATTTCCCCCTTCTATAGTGTCAATAGATCACTTTACCATGCGTACAGCCGTGGTACTGCAACATGAAACACATAGCTCATACTCGACATAAACTCGTGACGACAAAGAGCCGAGGCATGTGTGGTATTTCCATCGAAATTTATCAGTTTTCTTATTTTTAGGAAAAAAAATACGTTCCATGAATTTTTGTTCGGTTGACTTTGTGATGTTTAGCAATACATACGGTTCGGAATTCAAACTGCTTATTCGTAATTTAACTCAGTAAAATTCTATTAAGTCTGCATACTACACAGAAAACACAGCTGTTCTTTTCATATTCAGTAAAATTTACATCATGAACTGTTATACACAAAGCCAGAATGGATTCATCCTTCGCAGATATTAATCACGCGACTAACGTTGGAAACTAACATAAAATTGAAGGTTGCGGAAATATTGCCTAATTTTGAATACAAATATTTAAACTGTAAAATCATCCCCGTTTTATAAGTCTCTCAGAGTAACAAAGTTTGATACGAGGTATATTAGTCGTGTAAACACTTTAACACGTTTGACTGAAAGAAAAATAGGGGTGAAAACCTTTGCTAAGCTTTGCAGATCTGACTAAATTCATACAATTATCGCGAGAAGAATGTAGCAGGCCGTCAGTTAAATTCGATCTATCCGCAGATAGACACGCCCGTGCATCTGAAAATATCGTCCTTAATATGTGCACAACTTATAATGTCCCTGGTTACACTTTGAGAGAGAAACATCTCTTCGAAGAGCTAAAACACCCCTCAGTCTATCTATCGGAGCTGAGCCCTTCTTGAATAGCCGCCAATTGTGTAGCTACTCAAGAATTCGCCAGCATTTTATGGAAACCGATGGTTCATTACAGTGTTCACAAGTCAATAATGCTGGTCCCTATCCTATACCAGAACAATCCAATCCATACCATCCAATCCTATCTCTCTAACTAAGACACCCCTGCTAATCATTAATTAACAAACGGTTCTGATGATCTATAATAGTACAGCAGATTGACATATGAATTTATGTGCTTGTTACACTAATTTTACATCTCATAATTTGGGCGAGGTCTTCAGAGAGCTACATTAGAAAAATAAATGAAAATGTACAATTCAAAAACTCCTAAACTAATACCGTTTCTTTAAGGGTAAACAATTTTTTATATACGTTTCTGTTTTCTACTCGGATATATTTATTTGCCGTGCACTAGAACAGAAATCAATACTGATATTGATTTTGCTATTGGG